CTAAACGCAGACTCAAAACGGCAGGTTCTTGCAGGCCGTTCAAAGTCTGATACTGGCAAGCACGTAGATTGTCAGATCGACCTATGATGCAGGGTTCAACATTATTTAAATATCTACAAGCGTACTAAATATCAGAATCATGAGGCCCTTGTATGTCCTCATGTACACGTGTCAGGTCAGATCTTCTGTTTAAACGGTGGTCTGACTGTCTGAGGTACTGTCCTCTTCCACACAACAAATATCTTTACGCAAAGTATGTACATGTGTATCACTCATTTTATTCAGCATTCATAAGATGGATTTTGCGTCGGAGTGATGTAAATCAAATTAAGTTTTGCCCTTCACCGGCGTATAAACGGTTGGTACCTCCCGAGTGAAAGTTGGAAAAATCACTCGGGTGGGACTCGAACCCAAGACCTCCTACTTTCTAGTGAAGATGTCTTACCACTCAACCACCGAGCTAAGGGAATCAGTTGGCTGGTTCGGATCTGATGTACATAGCAGTAGGTATAGCATTAACTATTCATAAGATGGAATTTTAAGTTGGGGTTATGTACATCAAGTTAGGATTTGCCCCTCGCCAACGTTTTTTTTTCCAACTTTCACTCAGGAGGTAACACACTCATACAGTGTTTATACGTCAGTGTTTATACGTTGGTTATTTGATTAGAGTTTTATTCAGCATGCAGAGTCCTGTGGTCAAAAGGTTCCTGTGTTTGACTCATGCACGATGTTATGTTGAGTCAATCTTGACAGGGGACACGGTGCTGGTGTTCTTGGGCAAGATACATTACTACAATTGCCTCCATTGAGTACATGTGGGGGGGGTGCAGACCAGATAGGGCTGATCTCGAGCTTATAGCAGGAAAGTGTTCTCATGGCCTGATGAACAGGGGTAATAAGTGTGAGCAATCTGAGAGTGTTGTATAAGAGTGCTATATGAACACTGCACTATGATCATCAAATATCTTAACATCAGCACAAGGTGTTGGGCGACAATGCGTTCAAGAGTTCCCCCTAAACCTTTTCTTAAGAGGTATTACTGGGCAGTGTTGTAGGACTCGAGTCTAGGACTCGGACTTGAGTTGGACTCTAGTCACATTGGAAAATGACTCAGACTTGACCATGACTCCTCGAACTCGATGACTCGCGACTCGAGTCACGTAATTTCATCAAAAGTAAAAACCTAACGTAGGGATGGGAAAGGATCATTGAGGAATACTGTTTGGATGATAAAACATGGAGGGAAGGGTTGGAGGAAGATTTTTTAGGGATGGGAATTAAAAGGAAAACACATTTTGGCTGTAAACAAAATGTACACACACTACTATATACACTGGGATTTACTTAAAAGACAGAATGGAGGATCGAAAAATAATAAAAAAAAAACTATTAGTTCGGTGAACAAGTGACTTGTGTCTCGGACTCGGACTCGAGGCTTGTGACTCGAGACTTGGACTCGGACTCGGACTCGATGTTGGTAACTCGACTACAACACTGGTACTTGGTCACAGAGTCCACTGTACCTACCAGGTAATTCTGAGTTGACCACCCCAGGGTAGACAGGCAAAGGCCCCCATGAGGTGACGACATGAAGCTTGTCCCTCAGCTCAGGATGGCCCTTCATCTGTAAGGCCAGGGTGTTGGAGTTGATGCCTGTACCGTCTGCCGTCTTATTAAGGATCATCTGGATGGACTTCAGATGGGAACCTGGGCAGGAAAAAAAAAAATTATGAGATGTAAATTAGCCTTTTTTATATTTGATTTTTTGTTTGCCCTTCGCTGACATATTTTGTAAACACTGTGCACTTAGTGTTGTCCGAAGGCTTAGGTGGGACTCAAACTAATGACCTCCTACACAAACAAAGTTGGGTTAAGCGCAAACTCAGTGGTCGAGTGGTTAATGCGTCTGCACTAGGAAGCAGAAGGTTGGGGGTTTGTGTCCAAGCAGAAGTATGCTTGTTGATTTTTTTTCTTGCAAACCCTCGGACAAAACTCAATGTGTACAGTGTTTGTAAAATACTTCAGGGAAGGGCAACAAAAAAAATACATATATGAAAAAGAAGATCAATAATTATATGGATGAAATTGAATAAAGTTGATTCCTACTTTCTAATTCACAATTTCGAATTTCACAACTATTCACATAGAATTGAGATGCAGACCAATTGCAAAGGAGTCTTCACAGATGTTTGTGTTACCCGACTGGATAATTTTACCGAAGAAACTGGCCTTGTTCTCTCCTATCTTTTCGAGTCCTCGATGGGTAATCCCGAATCCGCTCAGTGAATGGACGTCATTGTAGGCCCAAACAGATCCACGTAGGTCCTCAAACACTTTATATCTATCAATGAAATATATTCAATACAATTATGATTAGCATTGAAATATTTACATAGAATCAGGGGGGGATGTCAGGGGAAGAAAAGGGGATGGGGATTATATTCCCCCCCCCCAACAAAAATGGACAAACACACTTTCCCCTTCCCAATTGTCACATTTGTGGAAGACAGTGTTCTAGTGAAGGTTTGCAGTTTGCAGTAACACCATGTAGGCATGTAGAGTCTCTTTTGGGAAGATGTGTGGTTCTGAAAAGAACCACACATCTTCCCAAAAAAGACTTCTACATGGTGGTACTGCAAACTTTTACTAAACCATGCCACCACGTAATTAGACCAAGTAGTTAGCCCTTGCAAATTGTCTTGCAAAGATGTTCAATCAACAAAACTGAGAACATGACAACATCAACTTGATCGTAAGGCAAGGCAGAGACTGATTTCAAATAATATAATAATAATAACGTAAATTTATACTGCGCCATTATCCGCCATAAATGACACTCATGGCGCAAACAAACATTATATCAAATCAGAAATAACAAAACAATTAAATGTAACTAAACCAGAACATTCTGAGTGTTCTGAAACACATAGGTCTTTAGGGCAACTTTAAATTCAGAAAGCGATGAGATATTGCGAATGGCGAGGGGTAGTTTGTTCCAAAGATGAGGACCTGCGTGAGAAAATGATCGATCACCCCAAGATTTGTGAGTGTGAGGGACAACCAGCAAAGAAGCATCAGAAGATCTCAATCGCCTGGATGGATTGTAAGGAGTTAATAGGTCTATGTTGTATTCAGGAGCTGAATCATGAATGCAATGAAAAACAAACAGTAACAGTTTGTACTTAATCCGGTCAGCAATGACAACAACCCCAGAAAGTGAAGAAGAAACTCTGATCAGATGACAACCAACATTTGCCCAGGAAAAAAAAAAAGGCAACTGATGAACAGAAATCAAATTGTGAATTGTGAATAAAAACTTCCATTTGACTTCATTCCTTATCAGATCAAATTGAATATCAAACAGAAGGGAATTACAGAATTGTTGTATGGGTAAATAAATCAACATCCAGGGGAAGAACACAATTCATTATGGGGAAAAGACAAGAAGGATTGATAGAAAAGAAAATCTCCTCCTTTTTTGCTGTTGTCTACATCTACATATACCTTTGTACAAAGTAAAATGAGTGCTTAAAGATGTTTTGAGTGAATGTTACTTTCCGTCATCAGTAACATGACCAAATTGAAACCAACTACCAACTACCTGCTCCTCCGTCCAATCACATCCATATACTGTCATTATCCCCAAAGCCATTTTCAGGATGTATTCATCAAGTTTATTCCCATGTGAACGGTTGAACCAACTACAGGATGAGTCAAAAAGAAAGTGACCGAATTTGAAAAAAATGTTTCAAAAATTTGGCTTGTTTTATGTTAATAAAAAAACATGGATAAAGTATATCTTATCAGACTTGTATGACTCGTGACTCGGACTCGGACTCAAGTCCAACTCGAGTCACATTTTTAATGACTCGGACTGGGACTCGAGTCACTTTGATTTACGACTTGGACTCGGACTCGGGGCTACGGACTCGGACTTGGACTTGAACTGACTTGTGACTCGATGGAAATTACCGCACTGCACACGCGCACATATATAATTCGATCGTTTTCTTTACTGTGCAATACATGTACAGGGCGCTCGATGTGGTGCGTGCGTGGCCGTGGCCGGTTACCGATATATTGACTTATAGAAATCAATGCACTGAAACTTGTACCCCGCCATCAACACGCAATACTGCATTGGTGCAAGATTGATAGGGTAAGGTACCAGACTTTTCTTGTCAGACGTCCTGTCGTTCACACGTGTATTGCTGTCGCATCGCAATAACGCAATATGAATAGTCTGCTGATCTGCCCGTTTCGGTAACGTTACATGCAAGTTGCAACGTACGTAGATCATGATGGCATCCACTTCAAAAATTGTCAATTTTGGATATCTTAACATCAAGAGAAATGCCAATGGAAGATCAAGTGCAGAATGCAAGTTCTGCAGGAAGAAAATAGAGGAGAAAACCGGCACTACGCGTACATGTACGTCCAACTTCAATCGCTACCTTTCACGACGTCTATAGAACTTAGAAGTCTAAAAAAAGATATTTGAAACGCCTGAACTTCAAATGCAAAAGTTAGGCCAATACCAGTTTTGTCTGAATTGCCTTTATAACTGTTTTTGCAAATGAACTCCTCATTTCCAGAGAAAATTAGAGAAAAGCTGTGGGGAAAAATGAAAATTTACAGCACCTGAAATGTACGTATTTCCATACTATATCAAAGGTGACTCTGAATCTCTGAATTCCCTAAAATGTACGTTTTTTGATACAAAGAGGTGACTCGTGACTTGGACTTGGACTCAACCTTTGTGACTCTCTGACTCGGACTTGAACTGGAGGACTTGGGACTCGGACTTAGACTCGAGAAATGTGACTCGAATACAAGTCTGCATCTTATTGACTATTAACTGTGAAAATTTCACTTAAATTGCAAACTCTATTCCCAATTCATGTCTATTTCAATAAAACGATCGCAAAACTTGGCTGTCCACCAAAACTGTACCGTGCTGCAAACTGATAATACATCGCCCAATGAGGATTGTAACTGCAGCCTCTGCAAAACCTATAGGGCGCCCTCTTTTGACAACTAGGATTGTACTTGTTGAAAGCACATTGTTTTTAGTAGCCATCTTTATTGCATGTTGTAAATTGTACTCCAGAGCATCTAAAAGGACCACCAGAACCTGATTGTTTTTAAGGCCTAAATAACCCCCAGAAGAAGCAAGGAGGTATTGTTTAATGATTACTCATATCATTGAGGACTTTCTAGAGTCTTTTGAAGCTTTAGTTTATTCAGTTTTTATAAGAAAGGCACTGGACTCTCATTTATATGTTATTTGCATGTAAACATAGTGTAATTCCATGATATTGAACTTTGTATTTGGATTTGTTCTTGTAATTGCAGTTTTCACGGAGCTTTGCCAGTTCATGTTTCGTATTCAATGGATGGAACTGTAGCCTAGATCACAGAGCCTCAATTATTGGAGATTATTTGAACTTGAGCCTGTGTGCTGATCCCTGATCCTTGAATCTTTGTTCTGTACTGGAGCTGTTACCATACTGAAGTGAGAGCTTTACAATACATTCTTGAAACAGCAAGCTTCTGTCGAGACCCTTGTTTATTTGTCTTCATCTTATTTTGCGAGACACTGCGCCCCCTAGTGGCACACCTTAACATAGGCCACCGACTTCATGCGAATCGATAAGGCTGCCGCTACAGTGAAAACTCCGAACATAACTTGAAATCATCAAGAACTACGAGATTAGCCTGTCCTCATTTGGAACCTGGAATGCTGAAACATCTTGAGACGAGACTTTCTACCAACTCACCTTAAATCCATCCTGGCTTTGATGTGTTTCCTGCGAACAACTGGAACTACAGTACATGTACCTGTCATTCCTGTGTACTACGAGTGCGACAGTTTTGCGAAGTTTCCTCTCACCGCTGCCCCCCCCCCCCCTGTCATCATCACTGCGAGAACAGCCAAGCAAGAGGACATGCACCGACACCGTAGGAGAGAGGGATCATTCTCTGAAGCTGTATTCTGAACTGCTGGTCCCAAGAACTTATTTGAAATAACTTTTGTTACACAATCAAGTTAATTTGTGTGCCTTGCGTATAATTATTGTAGATTTGCATCACAAATTGTAAGCATAAAATGGGAATGTTTCCATCAGCAGTAATTGTGTAACATACAGACCTGCATATTACAGTATTGCGGAATTACATTTGCTCATCATTGTATCATAACGTGTATTGTACATGCGTTTCATACATAACCTTTTGTATATGTAAACAAAAATGGGTTTGTGTATACTGTACAACATACATGTATCCTGTAGGTTTAACCACTGTTTATATGATGGTGCATACTATTAATATGAATGTACATTGATGCGCACACTTTCACTTGGAGGTTTATCCCAATACAGTAAATAGGTTTTGGCCATGTCACGCACAGACACAGACGAAAGCAATGCTGCGACTGCCCAGGCTGAGGGAGGTGAGGATGGAAATGGAGTCGAAACCGCCCGAGAAAGACAACTCACAGAGAAAGGTTTACTGTGGCAAGTCAGCCTACATGAGCGGAGGTTCCGAAGTTCCCTGTCAGCCTGGCATAGATGTGCCAACCAATTGGAGGAATTATTATCAGATTCAAATCAAGTCTCTGCAATTAAAGCTGGACGAGATGCCATGCATAAAGCCATGCAACAGCTGCAGGAGTCAAGTCACCAACTTGAAGAATTGCAGGCAGCAGAATATTGGGTCAGTGAACTTTGTAGAAAATATGAGAGGACTGAAGAGGAAAACCATCATCTTGTGAAAAGAGCTTGCGAACGCATCATCGACCTTGAAGATAATCTGCGTGAGATGAGATCCAGAATGTCTGAAAAAAGTCATTATTCAAGACGATCTGCAAGCTCGAAAGGTTCCGGTGCTATTGACAGAGCTGCTGTTGCTGCTGAAGCTGCAGCCCTTAAAGCCAAGCTGAAATTCGCTGACATAGAGGCAAACAAACGAGCAGAATTGGAACTTAAGAAAGCAGAACTCGAGCAACTAAACACAATGAAAGACTTGCACGCTGCAGAGGCAACGTTAGAGGCAATTGATCAGGCACAAGACCAACACTTGTTTGGCTCCCAAGGGAGTCTGGCTGGTATACCTGCACAAGAGAAAAGTGCCCTTGTTGCAGATTACTTGATGAGACAAGGGGAGCTTGATACTTCAAAGGGTGTTACTAACGACACAACACCTGCATTTGGCATGAAGCCACCGGCAGATACGAACAACCATGCGAACAATTCTCCAGTAGAGATGTCTCACACTCCAGCATCTAAGGCAAATGTTGAGCAGCCAATGACAGGATCGATGTGCCACCCTCAGACCATGCAAAATTCAGACAAGTGTGGAGCCACTAAACCTGCCAGCAACTCTCAAAGCACTACTGAGAGCACGAACAATTCACCACCTCTTGCAGTCACATCTACAACCCAAGTACATACTACTGAAGCGGTTTCAAACGAACCACAACAGCAGCTGATAGACTTTACCAAGTCCCTTGCGAAGCAACTGAGCTTAAGTCGGCTGCCCCCTCCAGAACCAGGAGTGTTTGTGGGTGATGCACTTAAATATCCCAACTGGAAAAGTGCATTTGAAACACTGATTGAACAACGTGGGATTCCCTCATCAGAGCAACTCCATTACTTGAAGAAATACACTGGAGGTGCAGCAAGAGAGGCAATCGAAGGCTACTTCTATCTCACTACCGACGATGCATACAACCAAGCAAAGAAACTACTAGAGAAACGCTATGGAGATCCATTTGTCGTCGCAAATGCCTTCAGGAACAAACTGGATTCTTGGCCAAAGATCCCCACTCGTGATGGAATAGCCCTGCGAAACTTTGCGGATTTTCTGAGACAGTGTGAAACCGCCACAAGGAGCATTGGCACCTTAGATGTTCTCAACGATGAACGCGAAAACAGAAAGATGCTCTCAAAACTCCCTGACTGGTTAATCAGCCGATGGGCCAGAAAGGTTGCGGATAAGAAGGAAAAGGATGGAAAGTTTCCTACCTTCTGTGAGTTTGCTAAGTTCATTGAAAAGGAAGCAAACGTTGCGTGCGATCCCGTGACCACCCTGCAAGGCCTGAAGGGAGATGACAAACGATACAAGTCTTCAGAATCTCACAGCAAGCCTGACAAGAATGTCGGAAAACGAACTCCAGGAGCTAATTCCTTCCCTACCAGAGTAGATGAGTCTCCATCCAAGGGACAGAAGGGAAACCACATGCAGCAATGGAAGGAGTGTCTTCTATGCAACAAGACCCACTACCTAGACTCCTGTCCTATCTTCCTGTCGAAGGAAATAGGCGAGCGTAAGGAGTTTGCAAAGAAGAAAGGCTTATGCTTTGGATGCTTGTCAAAGGGGCACATGTCAAAGTACTGCCGACGAAGACTGACCTGCAGAACCTGCTCTAAACACCACCCTACATCCCTGCATGGCGACACCAAGGAAGAGGTCAAGATAAGTGTGAACTCAAGTGCAGAAGGAGCCCAACAAGAACATAAAGCAGTCAGCTCAAACACTCGAATAAGTCTCTTCAGCGGAGTTGAGGATTGCAGCCAGAGCTCAATGACTGTTCCCGTATGGATTTCCCATTGTGATCGACCAGGACATGAGCGACTAGTCTACGCATTACTGGATACACAATCTGATACCACATTTATCCTAAGAGACACATGCGATGCTCTTGGCCTGGATGGACCAAAGGTTCATCTTCTGCTTTCTACCATGACTGCAAAGGAGCAGAGGGTATCAAGCCGCAAGATTAATGGACTGCTCGTGAGAGGATACAACAGTGAGACCAAGATTCCACTACCGAGTACATACTGCAGAGAAGCCATCCCAGCTAATCGTGATCACATACCGACGGCAGACATGGCCAGAAAATGGCCTCACCTCGAAGGAATGGCAAATCACCTGATGCCTGCAACGGAATGCGAAATAGGTCTCCTGATTGGGTACAACTGCCCACGTGCTCTTGCGCCACGTGAAGTCATCCACCCAGCAGAAAGCGGCCCATACGGTCAACGAACAGACCTCGGATGGTCTATTGTTGGCATTGTCAACCCTCACTTTGGAGAAGACGAGGGAAATGACCCCATAGGAATCAGTCACAAGATAGTCACCTGCAAGGTGCACCCTTTGTCGGAAAATGATCAATCGACAAGTAAGCACGTGATCTTTTCTATCAGGAACAAGGTGAAGGAAATCACTCCAACTGAATTTTCACAGATGCTGGAGTTGGATTTCCCCGAGAAGAAACCAGACGATACCAACCTGTCGCAGGAAGACATCCAGTTCTTGGACAAGATCAGAAATGGTATTCATCAACGAAATGATGGTCACTATGAAATGCCATTACCATTCCGTGGGTCTGAACCGGATCTCCTGAATAACAGATTGATGGCACTGCACCGCCTCGAACTTCTCAAGACTCGCTTCAAGAAGAATCCCACGTACCACTCGGACTACACCAACTTTCTACAGGACATCATTAGTAAGAACCATGCGGAGGAAGTGCCTGGCACCCATGTCAGCAAATCAAGTGGAGTGTGGTACATACCACATCATGGGGTTTATCATCCCAAGAAACCGGGGAAGATTCGCGTGGTGTTTGATTGCAGTGCTCAGTATAAGGGAGAGTCCTTGAATGACCATTTACTTCAAGGTCCAGACCTAATGAACAGCCTCGTCGGGATACTCTGCAGATTCCGATTGCGTCCAGTGGCATTCATGTGCGATGTCGAACAGATGTTCCACCAGTTTAAAGTCGAAGCAAGGCATAGAGATTATCTGCGATTCGTATGGTGGAAAGATGGCAACTTCAACAACGAACCCACAGAATACCGAATGGGTGTACACCTCTTCGGTGCAGTTTCATCACCCGGATGTGCAAACTTCGGCCTGAAACAGATCGCAGAAGACTACGAAGCTAAGTACGGCTCTGATGCTGCAGACTTTGTTCGACACAACTTCTATGTTGACGACGGCCTAAAGTCAGTCTCGTCCACATCTGAAGCTGTCACCTTGATTAGACAAACCAAAGAAATGTGTGCACAGGGCGGACTACGACTGCACAAGTTTATCTCGAATTCCAGAGAGGTCATGGAAAACGTCCCACTTGAAGACCGAGCCAGTAATGTGAAAATTCTTGACCTCCTCCACGATGCCCTTCCCATAGAAAGAGCACTCGGAGTTGAATGGTGTGTGGAATCTGATGCATTCAACTTCCGCATTATCTTGCGAGACAAACCTTTGACGAGGCGTGGAATTCTTTCCACCATCTGCTCCATCTACGATCCTCTTGGCTTCGTTGCTCCAGTCATGTTGGTGGGCAGACTCATTCTTCAAGACTTGTGTAGAGTTCAAGCTGACTGGGACACCCCCTTGAATGAAGAAATGAGATCACGCTGGGAAAAGTGGAGAAAGGACCTACCTCTTCTAGAGAAACTCAAGATTCCACGATGTGTTTGTCCAGAGAAGTTTGGGAAGGTGATTGCTACAGAAATTCATCACTTCTCTGACGCGAGTGCTTTTGCTTATGGTCAGTGCTCGTATCTCCGTCTCATTGATGACAAAGAGAATGTCCACAGCACATTGATAATGGGAAAGAGCAGGGTCACTCCTCTTAAGCCCATTACCATTCCTCGTCTGGAGTTGACCGCTGCTGTCGTCTCAGTGCGAGTCAGCACCTTACTGCAAAAGGAGCTCGACCTAGATGCCATAACCGAAGTCTTTTGGACAGACAGTAAAGTGGTTCTAGGCTACGTCAAGAATGAATCGCGACGGTTTCATGTGTTTGTTGCCAATCGGGTGCAACAAATAAGAAGTCGCTCTGATCCTGACCAGTGGAAACATGTGGGGACGAAGGAGAACCCGGCAGATGAAGGATCTCGAGGTTTGAGAGTTGAGGAAATTCTCACCTCGAAATGGCTGAAAGGGCCAGACTTTCTCTTGGAAAGAAAACTACCACCTCAAGAATCAACCGAATATCAGACTTCTCCAGAAGATCCAGAAGTAAAGAAGACAAGCGTGCTGCTGGTGCAGACAGTGAAATCTGCCGTAGAGCTTGAGCACTTCTCCAAATGGCGCTCTCTTAGACGAGCCATAGCAGGATGTCAGAAGTTCATGTCTCGACTGATGGAGGCTGTAAAGGACCAACGTGGAGAGTTGACTGAGAGTTACAAGTCAGAGGCCAACCATCTTCCTCACTATTCCCCGGCGACTGTTGAAGACCTGCAGCGATCCGAACGAACTATCATCAAGCTTGTACAAAGCGAATCCTTCCCAGAGGAGATACGGATACTCACCAGTCTAAATGTCAACGACGGTGACATAGATAGACACCTTGCACGGAAGCGGAACAAGTCAATGAAGCGTACAAGCTCACTCTTCAGGCTGGACCCCTTCATCGACAACGAAGGCATCTTGCGTGTTGGAGGACGTATCAGAAAGGCAGACATGTCATTCGAATTCAAACATCCAGCCATCCTTCCAAGAAGACACCACGTCACTAGCCTGATAATCCGTCATTTTCATGAGCTAGCAGCTCATCAAGGTCGTGGTACGACGACAAATGCCATACGGTCAAATGGATTCTGGATACTGGGATGCAGTGCTGCAGTTGCCACTCAGATCTCCAATTGTGTCAGATGCCGAAAGTTGTATGGAAGGGTGCAAGAGCAAAAGATGGCCAGCCTACCTGATGAGAGACTTCAGCCAGCACCTCCTTTCACATTTTGTGGTGTAGACTACTTTGGTCCATGGCTGATCAAGGAAGGACGGAAGGAGATTAAGCGTTACGGGGTCCTCTTCACTTGTTTGGCCTCCCGAGCCATCCATATTGAGGTTGCCAACTCGTTGACTACAGACTCCTTCATAAATGCCTTACGCCGATTTACAGCCATACGTGGCCCAATGCGGGTGCTGAGGTCTGACCAGGGAACAAATCTAGTTGGCGCAAGGTCAGAGCTAAAGCGAGCACTAGAAGAAATGGATCATGACAGGTTGCGACACTTCCTCATTGAAAGAGGGTGCGACTATCCAGAATTCAAGATGAATGCTCCTACAGCGAGTCACACTGGGGGAGCATGGGAAAGGCTCATTCGGTCCGTGAGAAGAGTTCTCCAAGCTCTCATGGAACACTCGGGAACCCAGTTGGATGACGAGTCTCTCCGAACCTTCATGTGCGAAGCAGCAGCAATAGTGAATAGCAGACCATTATCGGTAACCACTCTGAATGAGCCCACCGCCTTAGAACCTCTGACACCCAACCACTTGCTCACTCTGAAATCAAGTGTGGTTCTGCCACCTCCTGGCGAGTTTCAGCGTGTCGATGTCTACTCCCAAAAACGTTGGCGAAGAGTGCAGTATCTAGCCAATGAATTTTGGAATCGCTGGAAAAGGGAGTTTGTGCAAACTCTTCAAGCAAGACAGAAGTGGACACGCAGGGTACCTGACGTCCAAGTCGGAGATGTTGTCCTGATTGTTGACAACAATCTACCCCGAAACCAGTGGCAACTTGGTAGAATCTCCGAAGCTATTCCTGGCACTGACGGCCAAGTCAGAAGAGTGAAGCTTGTTGTTGCCGACAGATCCTTAGATGTCAAGGGCAAACGAACACGACCAGTGACAACCCTGGAACGCCCCATCCAGAAGCTTGTCGTGCTTCTTAAGAGTCAGGAGCACTGGGGATTCCCCATCGGGGAGCCTTAGTCCCAATTTAGAGTTTCTTGTTGATGAGTTGTGTTTGACCAGTGTTCGAATTATTGAACTTAGATTTGAAGAGCTCTTTAACTAGTGTTTTTTGGCAAGTTGTTGAACAGTATAGTTTATACCTTTTGATCTTAACATGTAAGTGACGAGTAGGAATTGATATTCAATGTCAGTTTGTAAGGCTTTGAAATGGAAAAATTAGAAGTCACTAATTTTGGGGAGCCATGTAACTGCAGCCTCTGCAAAACCTATAGGGCGCCCTCTTTTGACAACTAGGATTGTACTTGTTGAAAGCACATTGTTTTTAGTAGCCATCTTTATTGCATGTTGTAAATTGTACTCCAGAGCATCTAAAAGGACCACCAGAACCTGATTGTTTTTAAGGCCTAAATAACCCCCAGAAGAAGCAAGGAGGTATTGTTTAATGATTACTCATATCATTGAGGACTTTCTAGAGTCTTTTGAAGCTTTAGTTTATTCAGTTTTTATAAGAAAGGCACTGGACTCTCATTTATATGTTATTTGCATGTAAACATAGTGTAATTCCATGATATTGAACTTTGTATTTGGATTTGTTCTTGTAATTGCAGTTTTCACGGAGCTTTGCCAGTTCATGTTTCGTATTCAATGGATGGAACTGTAGCCTAGATCACAGAGCCTCAATTATTGGAGATTATTTGAACTTGAGCCTGTGTGCTGATCCCTGATCCTTGAATCTTTGTTCTGTACTGGAGCTGTTACCATACTGAAGTGAGAGCTTTACAATACATTCTTGAAACAGCAAGCTTCTGTCGAGACCCTTGTTTATTTGTCTTCATCTTATTTTGCGAGACACTGCGCCCCCTAGTGGCACACCTTAACATAGGCCACCGACTTCATGCGAATCGATAAGGCTGCCGCTACAAGGATAATGAAACATCAATTGTTTTCCCACCTCCATGAATGAACAAGAACTTGCAAAGGAAAAGATACAAAATCACCATCGATATTTCGAAGAAAAAAAGAGAGTTAACTTGCTTCTCATATTCAAAAAACACAACCTGATAGTAAAAATTCTCTTGATTTCAATTATTAAAATCTCATTTGTATTTGAATACTTGTGTGTAATCTGTAATTCTCACTTAGCTCATTTAGCTTTCAATATTATCGCATTCCTTGCACAGCTACACAAACAGGTTCTTTTTAGTAAAACATGCATAACTTTGGATGGCACGATCAAATTTAGTGATTGGGTTTTTTTCAGATGAGTGTAAGAACATGCTCTTTTAAGACATATTTCTTCGGGTGTATCTAATTTGATTGCTTAAGTAAAAAAACAAATCTTGAGTGCGGGTCACTTTTTTTTTAATCACCCTGTATAAACACAATGTGAACATGCATCTCTCATACACACTAAACTTAATTGTCTTCATTTTCTATCATCCTCTTTTTTTTCTGTCTTTTCTTCTTGTGCGGTAGCCCTCACATTGAGTGGCAGTTATGCCTTGTGAAGGAACGACTTGTATAAAAAGAACAATTACATGTACACAATACGCATGTTTAATCTGGAGCCAATCATTAAAACTGAAACAAATTCAATTCTCAGATTTCATGTCAGTGCAAGTAGTGAAACTGACTAACATGCATCTGCTTTGGTTACAGGAACTGATACCACAAGATAGTCACATGCATTAAAATCGGACAGAAATGTTGGGGGAAAAGAGAAAAAAGAACAAGAAACTTTCTGTTTCAATTACACTTTGCTCAAGGTCTCACAATCCCTGTAAGTATAAATCTGGAGTGATCTTGAAATAGAGAAGAACATTCTTTGCTGCATCTGAATGAAATGTAGCTCACGAAGCTCAATGCTACATTGTGCATGAACTATGGGTGATGGCTACCAAAACAGCTCCACTCCATCAACTGGGTGGAAAACTGAAGTTGAAAAGCATATTGAGAACTATTACATGAGTGAAGAAAGAACTAATCAAATATTACGGTTAAGTACTGAAATCATTACACCAATCGGACTCTGCTTAAACTTTGTCTTTCTCTTCACAGTCATTCTAGTGAAGTCCATGCGTACAATCATCCACATCTACTTATCCAATCTGGCTGTGGCTGACTCCCTCTACCTTATGACTTACTTCATATTTGCATTGTTTGCACCTATAGAGTACAACTTATTGGTCTACAATGCAATATCAAGTGTCCGATGCACGTTCATCGCTACTTCTAATTTTTTTGTGGTTACCATAGCAGCTGAGAGATTCTCTGCAGTACGAAATCCTCTAACATTCAAGGAAAAAGCCTCTAAATCTCGAGCAGCAAAGATATCAGCAAGACTCTGGGTGCCAACAATTATTGTCAGTGTGATTCTGATTTTCTTACCATTAACAGAAGCTGTCTTCGCTAAAGTCTACTTTTGGATTCTTTGCATTATCAACATTGCCTCTTTGATAGCAACTCTTGCTTTGTACATCTTTGTAGTAGTTAAAGTGTGCAAGCAATCAGCCCTGTTGCCGAACCGTCCCAAGCGAGCAGGCAAGGTCCTCTGCATGGTTATCATCAACACTGCTGTCTTCTTCATTCTAAACTCACTGTACACTGCAGCTTCAATTGTGGTAATTCATGCAGGTGTAGTGGCATCAAAGTATACTTCAAGTGCTCAGACTGTTGCCGTTCTGGAACTTGGAGAGACAATACATATTCTGACTATATGCATTGACATTTTGCAACTGATCAATAGCTCAATCAATTCCCTGGTCTACAGTGCCACAAACGCTGACTTTCGTGAAGCTGTAGTCAAGGCTTTCTCATTCCTCAAACTGTGCTGTCGTTGCTGCTCAAGACGGAATCCCAGCCGACCATCGCAGCCAAGGAAGCAGATTGAGCTTCATGTGATTCCACAGGCAAAAAATGACAAAGAGCACCGTGCTGCCAGGCCAAGCAGCAGCAAGCCACCAGGCCAAAGGCACACAGCAAGTCAGCAGTCACTGGACAGCTGTCAAGAACAATGTTCCAGGCAAAGCAGCAGCAAGGCATCCATGCACAGTCAGCAGCATGTTCAAGTGCATGTTGAGGTACATGCAGAACCAGCAGGGACCCCAGCGATTGTAAGTTCTCATCAGGAACAATGCTCTAGTCTGACTGACTGCAAGCCATCTATGCAAGGAGAATAGTGTGAACATCCAAAACCAGCAGAGAGCCAGCAGTCACTTGCAAGTACTCAGGAACAATGTCCTGGGCTGACTGGCACTGAGCCATCAGCACAAGGGCAGCAGTATGCACATCCAGAACCAGAAGGGATTTAATCTTTGGAAAGTTGTCAAGAACAATGTTCACTGGTACCTGATAAGTGCAAGCTGTCTTTAAGGGCAGCAGTGTGTAGAGTGAGTGCTGCTTTTGAACTTGCTGTGTTCAAAGTGTAGAGCAGATTTAAGGCCGTTTCATACATCTTCTTCATTGGAATGCCAATGAAGTAGATTTGACATCGAGAAACATTAACAACACAATATGCTGGAGTTGAAATGTGTTTTACTTCAGCGAATTGCCAATACATGTACGCACCATGACATCAGTAATGTGCAGGCCTGCCCAGAGCAGATTGCAACCAACTATCAGTAAAGGGAACAGCTGGTATTCATGCAATGTATGTATGTAAAAGGTTCAGAAATGAACAAATCCCAAATAGTTTAATTATTTGAATCAAACATTTGTTCGTGTTTAAAGGTAGAGTAGATCATTTGCAGCTACCCAAAAAGTAACTGACAAAATTACTGTTAAAAGGCTTTTGGTTTTAATTAATGGCACTAAACTCCCTGTGAAATCATTCTTTCTGGCATGCTGTCATTTTGAAGGAAACAATGAGATACAGAAATTTTCAACGATGCATCATGTTAGTTAATGTAGTTGGTTTGTAAATTTGGTGAATCCATGAATATGTGCGCAAGCGTCGACACGACGCACACGCACACTAGGTTGCTATTATATGTCAGTTCAGTGCATGACATCGCGTAGCTGCAATTGACTGAATGAGAATGTGTCCCTGGGGCTGAATTCGGACGCAATATAAAACATGACTCAGCAACTTTTGAATTGAACCTGAGATCTCAGAGTATATGTTTGGAATATACTGCATTCACAGAGCTAAAACTTCATCATGTTAGTTGTTAAGCACCCGTTTTTAAATTTTGAACACTTTTGTAGCTTCAAATGAAAAAAAAAAATGCACAAATGACAAATGATCTACCTTTCCTTTAAATGAGCAAGTTTGTTACTTTTTTCAGTGTGAAAATGTACATGTATTGGTACTAACATATGGATAACCCTGAAAGTTCACTGTAAATAAAGATTTTTTTTTAAGTGCTTTTGAAACAGATTTGGAGGTTTTTATTTTAGGAAACGCACCTCTGTATTCCAAGTCTTTGGATGTTTCAGGCTTTTACATATTTTCATGATGGTGCCAAGATGTATGTTCATGAGAAATACAGTGATGTCATGAGCTGGAACTTCAGTGTCACTGCTGTTTGAGGGGAAAATAATGATAACAAAAGTGTTTTGATCAAGTTTGATGTGACTGTTACATTCATTAGCACATACCATGCAGCCAATGAGATATTTAAATGTACAAACTTTTAGACATGAACAATGCAACTAATTTTAGGTTCATTTAGGTGCATTGCAAAAAAGAGTACGTTAAATGTGGTCAAACAAACACAGGGCTTGGATATTTCATGTTTTAGTGAAATTCATTTTACAGCCTTTTGATTCTGTTATTAACAGACCTTGACAAATCCCAAGCATGGAGCACAATACATACATACTCCTAAAAGGCACAAACTGTATGGTTATTGTTATTGAGGGTTCAATATTTAGGGAGCAAACTCACCGCAAATCCAAAATGTCTTGGGAGGTTTTGGATCTCAATCTTGAAGATCTCTGAGGTGAAGTGCTGTTGCGTCAGATAGTGATAAGGATCCGTTATGGCAGCGCCAGTCACTGGTACGTCATAGGTGCTGGTGGAATGGTTCTCTTGTGGGTCAAGACCTGATGCACAAATGAACAGATTACAAAAATTGATATGGCTAGAGCTATATTGTCTAGGTCTTCACCCAAAACAATTTCATGGGATCAATCTGACAATAGCCGTAGCCATAGCTCTAGAAACGCGTTTCAGACACAGTCTAAGTAACAGATCAACAAAGTTGCAAGTTATGCATTAGGAGCATCCGATTCCAAATGTATACCAATCTTTGTGCATACATGTAGCACAATGTGGATAACTTTTTTTGAAGACCAAATAAAGTGCTGTTTCTTATTCAAAGTTTCTTGAAACATCCTTTAGCAAGGAGAAATCCAGGGTATAGGTTTTTTTGTTGCAGAGCACAGATATATAACTTAAACAAGACCATTGTAGGCTTTAGATGTACCGTATGGGATTTAAGTCTGGAGGATCAAAGGTGTCTTCACAGCTACTAGCTGGAAAAAATGCAGTTGATAGTTAAAGTCAGCAATTTGTACTCCACTTCTGTCAATAGAGCGTGCAAGTTGACCTCAAAATCCTAGGTGATTTTACTAGGTTTATCCAGTCAAGGGCAAAGAATGGGTTCTGAACAAGAAATAAACCATTCCAATTTACAACACATTCAAAAAATATTGCAAGTTGATTACTATAGTAAATCGAAAAAATGTTGACCTCCACTTCCGTTCATTGGGTGAATTGGGTGAATTCAAAGACGGGAGTCTGTGGCTAGACTAGTCAGTGTTTGGTACCAAGATGTTCACATGAAAAGTGAATGTGAACTGGCGAGACTTGCATGCTCTATAATTGTACATAATCTGTGTAGCCTCACTAGTCTGTTGTATTACATTATGAGCTCCATGTCTGTATGATGTTTAAATGCAAAGCAATATT